GCCCCACGTGATCCCACGTTCACACCAGGACAGGAACCCTGACCACCCCACCACCCCTCTCACCGGTCGGTCGATCTGCATGATCTCCCAGAGCACCTCGGCGACGTCGGGCAGGGTGTACGGCGGGAGGCAGAAGCAGCACGTGTGCAGCAGCTGGTTGACGAGCTGCTGGCCCAGTTGGTTCATCACTTGGTTGATCAGCTCCTTCCGGACTTCAAAGTCTTCCTCGTGCTGTGGGAGGAAGGAGAAAGAGGGGGGGGGGATGAGCAACTCCTGGGGACAACAGTGGAGTGGACCATGGTGGGACAACCCTCATGGGTGACAAACACCAATGAGAACAACATCCTCAACTCCACGGAGGAAGGAACCTCCTGAGGAACAACCCCACGGGTCACTCACATCGTTGGCCACCCCGGTGTGGATAAGATCACGTAAGAACTTCATGACGCTGCAGTTGGCATCCCGGTGATCCAAGGTGGTGGCAGCGATGGCCCATTGTAGGATGGGGATCATCACCTGGCTCCTTAGCAAGGTGACGGGGCTACGCTGGATAAACCTGGTCAAGGAGAGGACAGACATGTCACTGGTACTCACCTGGTTTCCCCATGCATCAGTGGAGAGGTAGGAAGGACCCTGTCTTCTCCCACCCACCCATGGAGATGATGGGAACCCACCCATGGGCATGTGGGGAACCCTCCACAAGGAAAGAGAGGTTGGGGTGTCCCTGTGTGGCAGGAGAAGGTGACCAGAGAACGTGGGTACCTGGCTGCTAGTCGGAAGAGGTCATCCACGGTGTCTGGGTGGTTCTGAAGGCCATTGGGCTGCTCTAGGAGTTGGAAGGTGGGTATGCATAGCGCCTAGGAGAAGAGTCGTGGAGATTCATTAGCAATTAGTTAAGAGGACATCTCAAACCATCCTTCTCTCTGCAGTAATATCTCCAGTATGGACCACATCAAGTGGGATCAGACCCTTGGCTTCTCCTGATGGCCACCATCACAGCCAAAAGGGCAAGTCTGGATCCTTCTTCAAGATGGGATACGTGTCCTCAAGGGAGAAACACCTTCCTCAACGACGGGCTCCTCCAGCAAGAAGGTGCTCAGCAATTCTGCTTTAATCAAAAACTTCTCCTCATTGGTGTTGGTCACCCAAACCCAACTTAGATGAGAGCAGAGAGGTGTTGGGACCAGCTTAGCTTGGTGTGGGACCTACTCTGCTGCATGCAAACTCTCCAGGAACTCACAAGTGTGCTGAGTTCATGGCTGAGGGAACTGGGGGTGTTGAGCCTGGAGAAAAGGAGGCTGAGGGGAGACCTTGTGGCTCTGGGCAAGTCCCTTGGAGGAGGGTGGAGAGAGGTGGGGGGGGGTCTGTTCAACCAAGGACCAAGGGACAGGACAAGAGGAAATGGGCTCCAGTTGTGGCCAGGGCAGTTGAGATGGGATGTGAGGAAGAATTTCTTTGCTGCAAGGGTTCTGAGGCATTGGAAGGGGTTGCCCAGGGCAGTGGTGGAGTCCCCATCCCTGGAGGTATCTAAAAGACTTGTAGATGTGGTGCTGAAGGACATGGTTTACTGGTGAACTTGGCAGTGTTGGGTTCATGGTTGGACACAATGATCTTAAAGGTCTTGTCCAACCTCAACCATTCTATGAATTAGAGAATCAGAGAATCCCAGAC